GATTTTAGGTTTGTTTAGATTCGTCTCGGTGTTTCTGATAAAACCACTGATAAAATCGTTTAAAAATGTACCCCGAGTGTTTGACTCCGGCCACGTCTAAGTTACAATTGGCCCCCTGCTGGACGAAAGTAAGAAGTACACCCAAAACCATGTTCGCAGCGTAAATTAGCAAGTACATCCCGCTGCAGCCTGCGGGAAGGCGGGGCTTGATGTCAAGCCCCGCCCACATCAAGGACAGCCATATTGGAAATGCTAACGTAACAGGGCAGGGAATATATAAAGATATATGTAAAGATATGTTTTCATCTTAATTGTGAAAAGTTATCCCTCTAGCCCTGACGTAAACAGTCTGTAAATTTAAACAAAAATACGTCATTGGTGTGTTCAGCTTGAATCAGCATGTTTGAGTAGCAGGTCGACCGCCCCAATATGGCGGCCGTAATTCCTGCGCCGCGACAGCCAATGCGGGGTCTACTGATATTATATTATTATTTGAACTTCCGCACCAGCAAGTTTTTTTTTTTTTTTTCCCGCTTTTTTTTTATTTATTTATGAATGTAAATATAAACATACAAGGCATACAATAAATTCACACTTGTGATTTTTTTTTTTTTTTTACATGGATTGAGCATGTTCAACATAAAAAAAAGTATGAAACTAATCCAACAGGATTGTAAACTAAAATAAGATGAAAATAAAAACATAAATTTCAGGGGCCATTTCAAATTAAATTAAATGCTTCGAGTAAAGAAAATAATTTAAGAGCTTTCTTTTCTTCAACAAGTCTAAGAGATTTACTGAAAAGATTCAGCTCATTTCTCCAATGAGTCATACAAGGTTTGGTCTTAAAATATCTGCACTTGTGAATGAAGAACTTTCCAAATAACAAAAGAGTGTTGAGTATGAAGTCTACGTTCTTATTTTCAACAAAAACACCAAAAAAAATAGACTTCACAGACAATAATAATATCAAAATCAATCGCATTCAACCCACCATCTTCATAACTTTTTATCATATCTATCTTTCTTATATATTGACATCTGTTCCTCCATATGAACTTGAAATTAACCCGCTTTGAAATTAATCCCAGGTTTAGGAATCAATGTAATTAATCCCTGTTTCATGGTTGACATTAATTCCTTTTCTTCTATACATTCCATTAAAGCTTTAAATAGCAAACCTCTTACTTCTTTCCAGAAAAATTGATAAAAATTTGTAGTAAGCCCATCTGTGCCTGGGGATTTGTTTAGGGCCATTTTAGAGATAACCAAGTCAAATTCTTCAATTGTAAAATCAGACTCGCATAAATCTTTAAAGGAGTCTTCAATACAAGGTATATTTTCACTCTTATTTTCAATCCAGCAATTATTTGGTTATATTGCTTTTCTTAATCAACGCTGGAGATAGGCACGAGCAACCCCCGCGACCCCATGAGGGATTAAGCGGGTCAGAAATTTGATGGATAGATTTTTTCTTAATCTGCGATGGACTGGGAATCTGTCCAGAATCCACTGCACCAGCCCTAACGACACCACTATAGGGATAAGTGTGCATGTATGACAATTATTGGATAGATAAATGTGTCCTCAATGTAATGTACATTTGTCTCTAAACTACTAATTTAATTTACATTTTATGACATTTGTTTTTCATAGGGTTTGAGGATAGATAAATACATCTTCATAATAATTCCTTATTGTTGTTTATTTTAGACTGTTTGTTACTAATGTTATTTTAACATCTGAAAATGTAATAAAGATTTAAAAATAAAAAGGAAATACCACGTGACAGACATACCATGTGACATAACATTTTTTTGGCCATTTCTCTCGCCAGCGCCTATAGGCAAGAGCGGTCAGCATTTCCAATATGGGATGGCAGTTATATTAAGCTTACAGTGGGTAGAGGAGGTTCAACCAGACAGGGTGGTGATATGTACAGACTCTAAAGCAGTGTTAGAAAGTATCCAGGGAGAAGGAAATGATAGGATAGAGTTAGTATTAGAAATTATGCATAGTTTATTTAGATTATATAGAGGATTAATGTCTGGTTCTGCTGGGTTCCAGCTCACGAAGGGGTTAAAGGAAATGAAAAAGCAGATAAATTAGCAAAAAGGGCTTTAGAAATGACAATGAAGATGATACTTCCTTTCGGGAAAGGGGAAGGTAAATCATGTATTAAAATGAAAGAAATAAAAGAATGGCAAAAAAGGTGGAATGAAGATAAGAAAGGGAGAAAATTATATAAAGTGCAAAAATCTGTACTAATTAGAAATATTGATGAGAGAAAAAGAAGGGAAGAAATAATTATGACTAGATTAAGAGTAGGACACACCTATTTAAATGACACTTTACATTTAATAGGGAAGAAAAGTAATAATAAATGTGAAGGATGTGGAGAGAAAGAAAACGTAGAACATGTATTAATGAACTGTAGAACATATGAATCTGAAAGAGAAAATCTGAAGAAGAATTGTTGGAAGGACAGGAAAACAATGGAGTCTTAAAGGAATATTAGGAAATGAAGGAAACATAATGGATATTTATAGAGTAAGGAAAGCTTTATTTACTTTTCTTAAAAACACAAGATTAATAAATAGAATTTAATAAATGTAGAGAAAATGTTGCTACACACTCGTGTACAGTAGGTGGCGGTATGCACCTAAAAGTTACTTGCAGTCCGCCATTAATGAAAAGAAGAAGAAGAATTTCCAATATGGCTGTCCTTGATGTGGGCGGGGCTTGATGTCAAGCCCCGCCTTCCCGCAGGCTGCAGCGGGATGCTTCTCTAAATTAGGAAGTACACTTCGCTGCAGCAAACAGAAAGGGGCGGGGACGGACCACTGTCAGTCTCATACCTTATATGGAAATGGGACCATTTCATTCCGGAACTGACGGGGGCGCTAGTGACACTATTTTCTGTACCGACCGTTTCATAATAATTATAATAATAATAACGTATTTTATTTGACAACGCCTTTCAAAACACCCAAGAACACTTTCAACATTAAAAATACTAATTAAACAGTAAAGAAAAGGCTACAAAACGTGATAAGTCACGTGGCATGTCTGTCACGTGGTATGTCCCTTTTTTATTTTGAAATCTTTATTTAAAATTATCTTAGTAACAAACAATCTAAAATAAGCAACAATAAGGAATCATTATGGAGATGTATTTATCTATCCTTACACCCTATATATCTCTAACAAAAGTCATAAAAAATAAAATAAAATCAATATTTTGGAGACAAATGTACATTACATTAAGAGCACATTTATCCATCCATTAATTTTTATGAATTATCCTCAAGTGGGGTCATGAAGGCTGCTGACCCTGGACAGATCCCCAGTCCATCGCTGATTAAGAAAACAGATATACAGGTGCTGGTCATAAAATTAGAATATCATGAAAAAGTAGATTAATTTCAGTAATTCCATTTAAAAAGTGAAACTTGTATATTATATTCATACATTACATACAAACTCATATATTTCAGATGTTTATTTTGTTTAATTTTGATGATTACAAATGACAACAAATGAAAATCTCAAATTCATCATATCAGAAAATTAGAATATTGTGAAAAGGTGTAATCATCAAAATTAAACAAAATAAACATCTGAAATATATGAGTTTGTATGTAATGTATGAATATAATATACAAGTTTCACTTTTTAAATGGAATTACTGAAATCAATCTACTTTTTCATGATATTCTAATTTTATGACCAGCACCTGTAAACAAATACATGCTGGTGCTGAAGTTCAAATAATATATTTTGATGTTGTGAACGGTACTCTTAAAATAAATAAGTTAAAATCTAAAATATAATAGCCTTTGGCTTATTTAATAAGAACTAGATGGAAAAGAGGTTTGGTCTGTAAAACATTTAGTCGACAATTTTGGCCAACTTAGTACGTCCATTCACGGTGCACTTTTGTTGTTTATTTGCCAAATATTTTTTCTTATTATTCTCATTGTGAATATAATTTACAAACAAACCAAAGGACTTTTGAACTTTTAACAAGTGCCATTCGGTAACTAGAATATACTTGGTTGCAGGTGACCTGGCTCAATTATTATCTCCTATAAGGACTCCAGCTCAACTAGTAAACTGACTGGTGTCCCACTATTCCATTTAGAAATACCATATTAATTTTATCAATTGCAATAAATTCATGAACTGCACTCCAAAAACATGAATATCCAATTGTAGCAAAACCCAAAGTGATTAATTAAAACCTTAAATGTAGCCTCAACCTGGAAAGACTCGCACAGAAAGTAGGTTTTAGAAAGTTCATTTGACAATAATCTTCAACTTTCTGATCCCGGCAGTAGACACTGTACTGGTAACCACCAGAGAGAATGATATTTTTTCTACATGAAAACCTTTTTGAATAAAGTCTGTCTTCATCTCACCTGCTCAGCCAATCACCTGCTCAGGTGCCTCCCTCCCAGCCTAACGGCGCCGGTCTCAAGTCCTTCACCCTTCATAAAGTCCAGCTTGATGTGTGCAACTGCTCCTCACCTGAGCTTCCATCACCTCCACCCTGATTACACCTTCGCTTTGCTCGTTTAATCTTATGTTTGTATCTGAACAATATGTTTCTGCAACTTATTTTTTATTACATAAAACAAGTTGATTCTAACTGTTAAAACATAAACAACTTGTCTGTATGTCAGGTTTGTAAAGAAAATTTGTATTGATTCCAGTCATTGTTCAAAAATGTATAGGAAACATTGTATATTGCAAGTTATTAGCTTTGCTTGCATTTAAAATTTTCCAATTGTTAAACAACGCTGTTACAATATATTTACAACTACTTTATTGGTTCTACTGTCTCTCCAACAAATTACAGCCACAATGTAACTTTGTGGAAACAACACCATTTCTATGAAAACTAAATGATGTAAATCAACTGAGCTACAACAAAAGGAACTTTCAAAAATGTAAATAATATTGAAAGAACACATTATGAAAAAGGAGGACTGCACAAGTCAAAAGGTAAATATTCTTTATCAGAAACGATTTCAAATGGCATGTCACAAAAAAAACTAACAATATGTGACAGATTGTGGAAAGCGACTTATATTTTCTTTGAATTCAATGTTGGCACTCAGGGCAAAGTCCAGGTATGCCATCACAGTAGTAACGAGGGTACTCTCCTCTCCTCCGCATCTGAAAATAAAAAAATAAAAAAACAAACAAAATAAAAAACAGGTGCATTGCAAGACTGTAATACAGGAAGAATGGATGATACATATGATTATGAATGAATCTTACCTGTAAGATTGGCGGTATCCTTTCTACCTGCATGGTGAAGAGCATTAAACAATAATTAATACTTTATATCTCTCAGTATCTTATCCTTTCATCTCTAATGATATAAAAAAAAAGTTGTCCAAATAATGAATTTTAATAAAAAAAAAAAAAATCATTTAGGGTTTACGTCTCATTTGCACATAAAGATACACAAATCAAAATTACTAGTTATGTGTAAATTTAAAAATGAACCTTGATTTGTGCCTCGGCTCCTTTGGCATAGGTGTGGTCATCAGCACACAGAGTCTGTAAAAATACAGATATGTTCTAAGTGAAAGATGAATGCAAATCTAAATAACATCAAAACTGCTTCAACCCTTTTAATTCTTCTATACTGATTTTCTTTCAGACTTAAAAAAATAAGCATAGAACAAAAGTACACTGTGAATGGACATAATACAAATTCTATGACTTAAAACAACAAAGTGATGAATTTTAGCTACAGCTTACCTCACATTTTGCCCTCTCATTAACTTTTTTCCGCTTTCTCTCATTTTGTAGTTCTTCTCTGGACCTTTTAAAAAGGACAAATTGAAGGTTTTCTTAAAAAACTGAATCTAGAAAAGCGTATTAATTTACTATGTGAAAAAAATTTTAAGAAGGTAAAATTACCTTTTGTTGATTTTGTGGGTTTTGCATTATGGATCGTGTGCCGAACACCAGTGCAAAATCTTTTTAAACTTCTTTCTTTCTTCTTCCTTTCCTCTTAACCCCGCGTCTTTAAGGCATTTATACTAGTGATTATGAAAATAGCGCCCCCTTCATTTCCGGAATGCAATAGTCCCATTTCCAAATAAGGTATGGGACTGACGGAAAGGTCCGTCCCCGCCCCTTTCTGTTTGCTGCAGCGAGGTCCTTCTCTAAATTAGGTCACCAGGGGCGCAGCTAGATGGGGGGCCATGGCCATCACCCCCCCTAATACAGATGGTGGCAGCAGTAATACTCTCAAGTGGAATATTCAAAACATGAAAATGTTTTGTGGTTAATTATACACATCAATATACTAACATCAAAGATGATAGGTACAGAATTCATGCTATTTTCAGAACTAGATGTTGTATTATATGGGGTAAAGAGAAAACTATGTCCCTGCAAGTCATCTAGGAGTCTTCAGTTAAATCATAGATAAATAGCTATTTTAATTTTAAAAAACTTATCAAATAATCAATTTATGTAGATATTAGTGCTCGTAAATATCAATTTTATGCAGAATGTTTATTGATAAAAGTAGGTAAGTAATGACAATGGAAAAGATTCACGCCCCAGAACTCAAAACTAAAAAAGTTTTATCCACTATACCTTTAATCTAGAAATTACGGATGTTTAAATATATGCGTCTGTTTGTCAGCAAAGGCTGTAGGAAAGTATAGTTTGTTTTTATTTAGAAAATAGGGATGTTTTGCTCATTAATTTTCCTGTTGGAACAGTGTAGATTGACTGTGAGGTTCTGGTGCCTATCCGCTATGGGCCACCCCTCAGCCTAATTGGTAATTGCCTGGCCACCTTTAAAAAAAATCTGGCTAAGCCTCTGGTCACAACAAAATAATTATTAATTAAAATTAAATAATTATTTACTAAAATGTGTTATTAGAATAGAAAAAAAACAAAGTGTGAATTAACCATATACCTACCAGAAAACAGTCCCTAGGTTGATCTTTATCTAGCACAGAGTTGGTACATTTCCGTTTTGAAGTAGCAGAGCAGTAGAGAAATTACCGTAATAAAAAGCTAGTTGCAACTGGAAAAAAAAACATAAAATAAAACCATACAGTAGTGCTGTTGCCACTCTAAGTGTTGTCTAATCTCTTTCCAAAAGAAAACAAATTAGTCAGACCATATAGACAGAGTAAGTTTGCTCTCTTTTTTCAGTCTTACTAAATTGCCCTTAGTTATAGGTGAGAGCATACATACATTTTAATGTCCTCTGGCACCATTATTATTATTAGTAGTATTTTTATTTTAGACTGGTTTTCCTTTTCTCATTCACTGCTGTACTTTAAATGGCAATGTCCATTTCACTGTTGTAAGCTGTAAGCAACGTCATTTTGTTTTGTATACACTCAGTGTATATACAATGACAATGAAGTTTGTCTAAGTCAGACGTTGTTGGTCCTTTGATTAACTGGCAAACTTTTTCGGGTATTTTTGGCCTTATTGCCACTGATGATATCCCATGAACCTACAACTTCCCCCAACTGGTCCACATGTGTTTTGTGGAACTGGGGAAGGCGTTCTTGGGGGATGGTCCAGGAGGGCCATCCCGTCACTGTAGAAGTGGAGCAGGAGTTTGGTCTGCATTGCAAGCACTAAATCAGACCTGTTCCCATTGCATGCTGGACTTTCTGCAACTAGTCCTTTTCATAATCTTTATGGACAAGATTTCTAGGAACAACCAAGGGTGGAGGTGTTCTGGTTTGGGGACCAGCAGATTTTGTCCCTGAGTTTTGCATAAAATGTGGTTCTGCTGGCTCCCTCTTGCCACAATCTACAGCATGTACTGGGGCGGTTCACAGCTGCGTGCAAAGCAGACAGAATGAGAATCAACACCTCCAAGTCCAGGGCTTATGGTTGGAGGAGAGTTCCTGTCTCAGGCGAAGGCGTTTAAGTATCCTGGGGTTCTGTTCATGCGTGAGGGGAGAATGTAGGGAGAGATTGGTAGACAGAGGAGTGGGGCTGCTGCTAAAGTGCAGACGCTGCACTGCTGGGTTGGGGAAAAGAGTGAGCAGAACTGAAAGGCAAAGCTCGTGATCATGGATCACGATCAAGATTCTGAATAAATTGAGCCACCTTCACAGGGGGGCAGTGCACTCCCTTAGAGATGAGTCCAGGAGCTCGGACATTCGGAAGAGGTTCGGGGTGGAGCCGCTTCTCCTCAACATCGAGAGGAGTCAGCTGAGGTGGCTTGGATATCTTTTACGGATGCCCCCTGAATGCCTCTCCCAGGATGTGATCCAGACATGTCCCACCAGGGGGGAAGCCTAGAGGATGACCCTAGACACACTGGAGGGACTATATTTCTCTCAGCTGGCCTGGGAGCGTCCAAGAGGGGCTGAAGGAGTGGTCTGTGGACAGGAACGTCTCAGAGTCTCTGATGAGGCCTATGCCCCCATGACCTGTCCTAAACAAGTAGAATACAACGACTACAAGTACCATCTAAACTGCCCATGAAGCCTGTTCTAAAAAACACATCACAGCAACAAAACTGTCCGTTTCTGACACCCTACACTACACAGCTTGTCTTAGCAAAGGGTTGGTTTAACCCCATGAAAAAAGCACAAAACAAATCTTTCAAACTTATCATCCTTATTTTACATCTTCCTCATATCTAGATTTGTTTTGTGATGTAAAGCCACCACGGTTACATCTGTGAAGTGCATGAAAGACATTCCAGTCTTAGCAATGAGTTATTTGTATTTCTGCCATTAGGATCTTCAGAATCAGATTGTTTTAAATCAAGCTCTGGACATAAATGCATGTTTTAATAAATTTATGAAACCAGAGATATGCTCTGTAAAAGTTGGAACGTAACCTCCTAAATGAATCTCGACCTTTGAAATCTTTCTCCAGAACCAGATGAGTAAATTAGAGGTTTCATATGCTGCCATATTTATGAGACAGAAAGGGCTCTTTGTACCTTAAGAAGCAGGGTTGGTGGCTTTAAGCCAGGCCTAGTAGGTGAGCGGGTGGGGGTACAGAAGACTCCTGCCCAGTATCCAGGGTAAAGTTCAAGAGGGGAAGCTAAATGCAGACTGGAAACCAGAGTTGTCAGAGTTGCATTTTTTGCTTTGTATGTCAGGGCATGTCTGACAACATTCAGTGGCTTTAAGTTTGTCCACACAGAGGACTCTGTTCTGGAGGAAATTATATTCCCGCTTACAGTTCTAAGTGTCTGATCTGAAGAAAGCAGATTTGTGCAGGAAAATTATTAATACAGGAAAATAAACACTAAAGTAAAACCACAAAAACTTTGTTTAATGACTGGGTCCTTCATTCCTGGCTTCCAGGAATTTTACTCAGCACCTCCAAAGAGTCACACTTAAAAACAGAATCGTCTGTGTCAAGCTTGTTGCCGACTGTGCAAAAATTCTAAATCGCATCTAATTTTATTGTATTTTGTTTCGATTCAGACCTCCCTGTGACTTTTAGAGGAAGCTTTGATTACTTTAAACTGTCAGACACTCAACTGCACACAAGTACAGAAAAAACAGCTGTAGTCCAAAATAGAAGGATTATTTTTTTTTATATCAGAAAGTCTTTATTCAAATTTACTTTCATTTTCCCACAATACATAGGTAGAGGTACATTTCTAACAAGAGTAGTTTTCTGTCAATGAAGCTAACAGATTTCTTTTCATATAAAGTTACGTTAACTTCCAGTTCACTGAGTTTACATAAAGCCCTGCATTGAAACCAACCTTAAGTTTGCTGTGCGTATTCTGTCTAATTAGATCAAATAGAATATTATTGCAAAGTTCATTTATTTCAGTGACTACATGTATAACATGTATGAAATATTTAAGCTCGGAATTACAGTATTTTTCTGGCCTTTATTTCTGTTAATTATAATACCTCCATTCAATAAAAACTATTTTTTCTATTACAGAAATATTTGCTGAATGTAAATATGTTTATAAACTGCTAAATTATCCCCAACAGATTATTTAATCTACTGTTCAGGGCTGCAGTTTAGTGGGAAGCACTGCTGCCTTGCAGCAAGAAGGTTCCGTTTACGATTCCCGGCCCTTTGCATGGAGTTTGCATGTTCTCCCTGAGCATGCGTGGGTTCTCTCCGGGTACTCCAGCTTCCTCCCACAGTCCAAAAACATGACTGTTAGGTTAATTGGCTTCTCTAAATTTTACTTAGGTGTTAGTTTGTGCTTGAATGGTTGCTTGTCCTGTTTGTCTGTGTGTTGCCCCGGCGATAGACCGGCGACCTGTCCAGGGTGAACCCCGCCTCTCACCCGTAGATAGCTGGATATAGGCACCAGCACCCCTCGTGACCCCAACAGGAATAAAGTGTGACGGAAAATGGAATGGATGGAGATTATATAATCTGAGAAATATTTTTTTATGGATATGACTCTTTTTTTATGTACCCTCTAGTCT